AGGTAGTTAGGTTCTTGGTAGAACTTTAAATAGTATAATAATAATAAAAACATGAAAATCTTTTCAAAATTAGGTTATATAAAGAAAACAAGAAAATAATGTTTTCAAGAATAATCAAAACAAACTAAATAGGTATAAAAAAAATCTTATGCAAGTTAATCAGTATCAAAACATTAAAATAAAACTTAGTTAACAATTACCGATTTTTCACAACTTTGGCAAATAAAAAGTGTTTCATCACTACTGAGATCACAAAATGAATCATAGTTGGCACATTTTTGGTGGAATTTATCACAGCAAAAATTACATTCAATACCCAAGTTTGATTGTTCTATGTCAGTATTACATAATTTAAAACATCCTGTTTTAATAATGCAACTKTTATAGATATTGCTACAAGGGTTTGGTGAACTTGGTAGTTCATCTATAATATTATATGAATTCTTAAATTGTAAAGTTTCTAAATTAATAGTTTGACTAGTCACTGTTTCTGGTTTATAATTTCTACTTAAATCTGAAAATAAATTTTTTACAATATTTCTTTTATTTGTCTTTTTTGGTTTTGTTTCTTTCAATATTTTGTTTTCTTCCCTAGTTTTCTTTCTCATTTCTTTTTCTTCTTCAATAGACCGTTTCTTTTTTTCTTTATTTTCATATAAGTTTTTCCAATTATCTGATGTTATTACATATGGTACCCTTTCTGTTATTCTTGTACCTTTTCTTTCAGGAGTCACAGGCCAAATCAAACATGACTCAATTGGTGATATTTCTAACTTTTTTAGAATTATATGATTTTTATTGTTTTTTATTAGGGTGTCCGGGTGGTTAATTGGAATCCCTAAAATTTCTTTTTCTAATTCCACTTCAGAAGAACTTGTTGTAACAATAGCAGAGTTTGACTGATCTGCATTAGATTTTTCTTTTTTAAAGTTCAAGGTCTACTTCGCTGTTCTGTTGATTACCTTTTAATTGTTCATAAATTCTGTATAAAATAAAAAATTCTTCAGATTGATTTTCTGTTTCAACAATGTTCTCAATATTATTAAATTTTTCTATCGTTTCAATGCCAATAATATCAGAAAATTCTTTAAGATTTAAATTGTTGATATTATTGGCAATGTTAATTCTCTAAGCGGACACAATGTTAAGCAAAAGCAAAGAGTCCCGACCTTATCTTTTCTACATCATGTCTTGGGCATTATAGAATAAGATGTATGCTCCGCTAGCAATATTTGATAAGCGTGAGGTGAGCAGGGTTCTCAAACACGTCCATAAAACTAAATTTAGCAATAAAACTCTATTCACCGGAAAATAGCACAGTTTTCCGAAAAAAAAATAATAATTTAACAATAGAACACATATTTGGCAAATTTAAAAAAATACTTACAATTCCGTCGACCGTCACCACTTTTTAAGTGGTATGCAAATTTTCGCAATGAAGTGTAGATTTTGAATATGCAATCAGAACGCGGTGAGACAGCCCGGAAAATGTCAGGAGCTTACGAAAGCCCGGCCGCAACTTTTGAAATACGCGGCAGCCGAAACTACAAACGGCTGGATTTAGAAATTTTWAAAAAATACTTACTTTCATTTTRCCGAGCTCTAGTAGYCAGTGTCTATGTTTGACTTGTTTGAGGTCTATTTTACAATAGTACCTACAAATTTAATTCTAATAACGTATTTTTTATTTTTTGTTATACGTTATTGTACCTAATTATAAAATATATAATGTGAGTGTCAAAAACTCAAAAGTAAAATATTGGTTACATTCTAATTGTGCAGTACTAGCGTTCCAAATATAAGTA